TCTTCTAGCCCTTGGGCGAGCCCGGTGCATATGATCCGCAAACCTGACGGCGGGATACGGCTCTGCATCGACTATCGAAGACTGAACGCTGTGACTATCAAGGACTGCTACCCGATGCCGCTCATCGATGACATTCTAGATGTACTCGGCAACGCTAAGCTGTTCTCCACGATGGACATCGCATCCGGCTACTGGAATGTTCCGATGGCTGCTGATAGCGTGGAGAAGACTGCCTTCACCTGCAAATATGGTCTCTTCGAGTGGCTCGTAATGCCGTTCGGACTGTGTAATGCCGTACCGGCCTTCGAACGACTGATGGAGACTGTGCTTGTTGACCTTAAGTGATGGACTTGTCTAGTGTACCTCGACGACTGCGTGGTCTTCAGTGAAGACTTTCCTACCCACCTAGTACGACTAAAACAAGTCTTGGATTGGTTCCGGTCGGCGGGATTCAAGCTCAAGATGAAAAAGTGCAAGTGGGCACGCGACCAGGTAGCGTTTTTGGGTCACATCGTCACTCCGTCTGGCATATTGCCCAACCCCGAAAAGGTCAAGTCGGTGATGAACGTGCTCAGACCGCACGACTTGCACACTGTGAGGGCGTTCCTGGGTTTGACTAGTTACTTTAGGCGGTACATACCGGGATACGCAGCCATATCGGCCCCAATCGAACGGCTTAAGATGAAAGGGGCCCGATTCTTCTGGAGCGACGACTGCGAGGCCGCTTTCCTGCAACTAAAGCGTAAGCTGGTGGAACCTCCCATCCTGGTGTATCCCGACTTTTCGAAGCGCTTCCTTCTATATGTGGACTCGTCTAAGCTCGCTGTAGGGGCGTGCTTGATGCAAACCGTGGAGGGGCGCGAGAGAGTCGTGGCCTATGCGAGCAAGCTACTAGTTGGCTCCGAGAAGAACTGGGTCCATAAGGAGGACGGTACGTCGGAGATCGAGTGCTGGGGTATCGTTTGGGCCACGCGCAAGTTCCGCTGCTACCTGGACCGTTGCGAGTTCGACCTATACACGGACCACAAAGCTTTGACGTGGGTATTCAACGAAACTAATCGTACGAGCAACGCTAAGCTGGCTAGGTGGGCCATGGAGTTGTCTCAATTACGTTTCAAGGTGTTCCACAAGCCTGGTACTTCGATGGGTCATGTGGATGGTCTGTCCAGGCTGTATACCCAAACCATCAATGCTATCTCTATGGCGGAGCTACTCAACGATGCTGACGAGCCCCCTCCTTGTACTGTCGAAGTCGGGGAGACTACGACTCTCGACTCGACTCTGCTCCCTTCAGGGACCTTGCCCGAGGACGCTGGCGAAGCTAGACCCGAGCCGTTCCCCGACGAAGAAGAGGTTACCGACCAACTCCTAGTGTCCCCCGTTGATGTGTTCGGGTTACAACAAACTCGCTTCGTGGAAGAACAGAAGAGGACACCCTGGATCCAAGCTATGATAGCGTTCCTTAGCGATGGAGCTCTAGCTCTGGACCCTCAAATGCGCACCAAAGTCCTGTTGATGGCGCCTAACCACTCGGTAAAGAACGGAGTACTCATGCGTCGCGTACACCTGAAGGCTCGCGCTGGACCGGCGTCTACTCTTGAAGTTCCTGTGATTCCCCTGCCTTTCATATCGACGGTACTACATCACTGTCATAAGGATGTACTTGCCGCTCATGTCGGAGTTACTAAGACGCTCGACAAAGTGCGCAAGCACGCTTACTGGCACGGGTGGAAGAAGGATGTGGCCGAATATGTTCGGGAATGCACCGTGTGCGGCAGTGGTAAAGGCTATCGCCCTTGGAGAAATGGCCGAATGCAGAGGATGCCCGTACAAGAACTATCGGGACCTTTCTCGCTATTAGTGGTGGACGCCATAGGTCCCTTAGTGGCTACTCCTCGAGGCAACAAGTTCATACTCGTCTTCGCTGACTATTTCACTCGATGGGTCGAAGCGTTCCCAGTGGCCCGCTTGGACACTGTAACGTTCGTGGAAGTTATGGTGAACGAAGTGATCTCGCGGCACGGAGTCCCCGAGAAACTACTGAGCGACCAAGGATCCAACTTCATCTCGAACCTGGCACGATCCTTCTACGATACACTCGGGATCAAGAAGTTGTTTGGAGCTGCTTACCATCCTCAGACTCAGGGGCTAGTCGAACGCTTCAACGGCACGCTGATCGGGATGCTTAAGATGTATGTCAACGAAGCTCAGAACGACTGGGACTTATATCTTCCCCGAGTACTGTTCGCATATCGTTCGTCGTATCACGAGGCCCTTAAGGACTCACCATTCTTCAGCCTGTATGGCCGGGACCCGGTGTTACCTCTGGACCTCGCGTTTCTCAACACGAACAACGGATGGAAGAGTAACGAAGTCGCTAGCTACAGACGAAAGCTATTCTTATCTCTACGGGATACGAGACGATTAGTAGAGCGCCAACTCTTGAAGGCCCAGGGCAGACACGAGCAACGACTGAGCAACCAAGTACCGATTAAGTTCAAGGAGGGAGACCCGGTGTGGGTCTACCAGTACTTCCGAGCTCGTCGCGGGGAAAAGACCACGAAGAAGCTCGCTTTCGCGTGGCATGGTCCGTACCGTGTGGTCGGGATCGTGGGAGAGAACTCCTATCGAGTAGCCATCCCTTCTCACCCCAATCGGGTCGTGACCATTAACGTCAATAGGTTGAAACGTTTCCAAGGGCGATGGAGTCGACCGTTCCCTTCTGAAGTACCCGAGGGAGTCCAGTCGAGTCCGGGTGTAGACGACGACGGACCTCTATCAGAAGAGGACCCCCCCCCTCTACTAGCTTCGTAGAGAGACTCCTGATTGGAGGGGAAGAGACGGCCCTGACCGGAGTTCCTTGCTCTGTGATCGACATAATCGCCCGACGCAAAAAGAACCGTGAAGAGCAGTTCCTGGTGTTGTTAGCTACCTACGAGACTCTTTGGAGACCACGAAACATACTATTGCTCCTACTAGCTACCAACTACTGCCTCGAGTGGACCGGCTGGAGTCTCGCCGACACTCTTGTCGTGGTGGTCGCTGGTGTGGTATCTCACGCTTGTCGTCAATACGACGAGGGGAGCCCCCTCCGATCTGTCTCCCCTAAGGCACTGGTCGAACTAGTATTGACGAGTACCCGCCGCAACGCTTCTCAACGTAGTATGGCCGAGGCTCGGAACATCGAACGTCTGCGGGTCGACGACGATGTCGAGGTGCTATATGACTTTCAAGCCGCCGACCCTAACTACGTTGAGGACCGCTCCGAGGACTACCACGAAGCGTTCCAACCTCCCCTGTCGGAAGAAATTGCTAACGACGGAGTCTATAGTACTAACGTGAGAGATGTACGCAGAGGAACCGTTCGCCGAGGACGACGAACGACAAGTCGGGGAGGATGTCCCGTACCCGGGAGCGGAGGGGTCATTCCAGGAGCTCTGCCTCCCGTCGGGATGACCCGAGACCCTGGAATCACTCCTCGCCCCGCCGTCCCGTCAGGGTGGTTCCCGTTGAACTCAACCTCGCACGTACCCTTGACCGAGCCCGTTAGGGTGGTCCTATAAGGGGACCCCTGAACGCCGGAGTCTTGGCGTCGGGGGACCAAAAGCACCTCGCGACATCAAGCCCTTTCCCAGAGGCTCTCCGTTGTCCCACGAAGGCCGACAACAAACGAAGTGAATCCTTCCTTTTTTTATATGTAGTGTAGTGTATGTAAGGTCGAGAAGGTGGTAGGCCTCTCGTCCGGTTAGCTCTCAGTCTTATATTTCCCTCCTTCTACTCAAGAGGAAGCCAAGCCAATCAACAAACTTTTATTTTCAACTCTCTAGTGTTCCTATCTACCGTTCCTGCAGCCACTGAATTAGACCGTACTCCCTGAACAGCCGCGGACTACCCGACCCTCGAAGGAAGAGGAGGTATACGACATTGAGTCTCTCAACGACGATACGCTTGGGAATGAGGTGAAACTCGAACACCCAACCATCAGTGACCCAACTTTAGCTGCACAGCAACAGCCTACTGAGACCACCACGCCACCGTGCTGCTCAGCTTGTGGGTATCCGCTTCTTGCTGTCCCTCAGGCGGATATTCTGAACGCCGCGAGTATGCTGGACTGTAAATGCTGCCAATTGGTGTTACCGCAGTCGAGTTACTCCAAGACGCAACGAGGCGAAGGTAGAAAAGATATTCGCAAGTGCAAAGCGTGCACAGGTAACGTGGTAAGAGGAGCGCCACCGCTCGTGAAGCCCACGAGGGAGAAACCTCAACTCCCGCCGAAGATCCGGTCCACGAAGACGGAGAAGCGCAAGAAAGAAGCGAGCGCCGTGTTCATCAACAAAGTGGGAAGACTGAAAATGGCCAAGCGTGCATTGCTTAGGAAGCGCACGGAGGCAGCCAAGCTGAAAGCCACCAAGAGGCGAGAAGAGTACGAGCAGCAGCTGGACAAGGAGGAGAAGGATCTGGATCGACAATCGGCTCTACTGGAGAGGGAAAACCCGTCAGCTTTACGAGTCTGATGGATGAGCTGAAGGTGAAGAAGCCTCGTTCTGCCGAGGTCGGTAAGAAGAAGAAGAAGAAGAAGAAGAAGAAGAAGAAGAAGAAGAGAAAGGCCGCTCCAAAGCCTCGAGCGAAGCGTAAAGCGGATGTCGATGGAGACCAGGCCAAGAAGAAGAAAAAGGGACCTGCAGTGGATTCGTCCGTGTGCGTTCCGCCGACGTCCACAGCGGACGAAGTTCCAGCGCGACGTATTCCGACGCGATCGAGTGCGAGATCGCAGCCACAGGAGGTCGCTGTTAAAGCCGAACCTGCCGTGAAGATGGAGCCAAAGGCGGAGATCAAGACGAAATAAACAATCTTAACGGTTTTAAACACGCGAACTCAGCTGTAGAGCCCTGGCCCGCGACGTCGGACGTGGACTCGGGCCGTGTGATCTGTTTTGTAATTTTCGACCGCATCGAGCTGAAAATTGTTTAAAACTGTCGCAATAATTGTCTTGATCTCTGTCATGGCGATATTCGCGCCAGCACATGAACATGGGCCGCCTAGGAAGGCGTTGAACTTGTAGCTGGACACAGGACGAACCCGGTCGCTTGCTGTGTCGATCAAGCGCTGAGGTTGGAACTGGGAGCTGTTGGCGCCCCACACGTTCTCTCGTCTGGCCATACTGTAGAGATCCATCACCACTTGGGTCCCCGCGGCTACGAATGTGCCGTCACTAAGCACCGTATCGAGTTTAGCTCGACGTGAGACGAAGGGCTTTGCAGGGTACAACCGCAGTGTCTCCTTCACCACAGCCTCAAGCCGTACTACCGATTGAAGATCTTTACCGTCTTTCTCTGCGTGTTTTAGCTCACTGATAAGTTTATCCTGCTCTTCTGGATGCTGGGCAAGACACTGCAGACAGTAAGTCAACGTGTGCGCCATCGAGTCCCTCGCGGCCACTACGAGACTCAGTACAAACTCAGCCAGAAACTCGGGGTCTTTCGAGCTCTTACTGCTGCACTTTTGGCGTAGAAGCAGTTCGAGCATATCCACGCGACTGGCAGCGATCGGAGTGTCACCTTGACGTCTTCTCTGCTTCGCTTTAACAGCTTCCGACGTGACGGACTTCACCACGTCGACACTGCGACTCAGTGCAGCTTCACTACCGATGTCTAGGAGTCGCTGTAGCTTCCACACAACTGCAGATCGACTTGCTCGCTCCGTAACAAGCTCGTGGATTTCGTCCACCGCATTCTCCAGCTTACTGAGCTCTCCAGGCACAGACCGCAATTGCAGTCCGAACCCCAGCTCTGTGAATATTTCCATCGAGAACTGACGCATCAGCTTCGTTATATCCAGCGCGCTATTGCTATTCAGTGCGCTCAGTAGCAAGTCAACGTGCTGCTTCACCAGTACGGACGCTTGTTGACGCAGTGCTGGTGATCCAAGGACGGCTGCTGCGAGTTGTCGTTGCATAGAGACAGAAGGACTGACGTGTCCGCTATACAATAGTGCAATGACTCCACCATGCACGTCGTGTGTCAAACCTTCAGCGTCACTGTCAACCTTCTCGAATTGCACTGCGAACGTCCGTTGGATGTCTTCGAATGCAGCTGGGGAGCTTACGACAAGCACGTCGGGACGTCCTGGGCGGTGCAGTAGCCACGGTTTACCATGAACCCTCGTGGTTGTGGCGAACACCCAATTGTGGAACGCTGCTGAGCCTTCCGTTGGCTGTTCCGCCGTCATTTCTACTCGAATAAGTGGCTGCGTTGTTGACGTACTCGGTACATGTTGATAACCACGAGGAGGTAGAGGAACGCTCGTCCAGCTCAATCGTCGCTGTCTTTTATCACGCATGGCCCAGAACACCACGAGCGCAAGCGTACTACCGAGTAACGGGCCTGGTGAGATCGACACCAGTCCATGGACGCTTAGCCAAGTGCTCGACATCATCTCTGCAACAACGGAAATAGGAGAATGCGCTTGAGCAAGCCGCACCGAACGGAGTTCGAGGGTTACTGCACTCACTTCGAGCCAGCAGTGGCCGTTCGAACAGAACCATGCCAGTGTTTTTGGTACCGGTATCTTAATCTAGTCATAGAACACCTTCCTCTCACCTCCTCAGTCACACAACATTTCTAAAATGTTAGAAATGAGAAGTAGGACAGAAATTGCTGGACACAGTGGAGCCTCTCTTGTCCAATGGCGCAGACAAAAGAGACTGTGGCCACCACGCCGTCGCTGCCAGCGGAGCAGCAAGAGGAGAAGCCTGCAGCTTCAGTTTCCTCTGCAAAGCTTCAGCGACGCTGCGTTCTTACTGTCGGTGACGGGAATTTTTCGTATTCGTTGGCGCTAGCCAAACAGCACAAGAATCAGGGAAATGACACACCAGTGCAGTTGACTGCCACTTCCTACGACAGCTACAACGAACTCGTGGCTAAATACCCGGAAAGCAAACGTATCTGCGGTCAATTGAAAGAGTTGGGAGCCTCCGTGATGCATCGCGTGGACGCTACGAACCTCCGCGAGTCTCTCGTGGCAGCAGGAGCAGAGCAGCTCACGTTTGATGCGGTGGTGTTTAACCACCCGCACTGCGGAGAGGAGAATGTCCGTCGCCATCAGAGTTTACTGTCGCACTTTTACACGTCAGCGTTAGAGATATTAGAGGACAGCGAGGAGGATGAAGGGAACGGAATTCTATTGACATTGGCGGAGGGGCAGCCGGAACGTTGGCAGGCGGTGGAGCGAGCATTGCAAGCCGGACTGAGACTGCATCGACGGGTTGACGATGTCGACAATGACGCGGTCTTTGGGCTCAAGTATGAGCGCAAACGACACCAGAATGGCAAGTCGTTCCATCAGGTGACACTGCATGGCGAGAGGAAGAAGCAGGCGAGCACGCTCTTCATTTTCCGCCGCCAAAATAAGGCTACAGAAGCTGCAACAGGTGAGGATAAAGCAACTTCAACAGATCCAGCAGTGACTCTGGAGAGGAAATCGTCACTATCTCGTAAGCGCAAGGCGGAGAGCGAACTGCCTTTCGAGTTTGCTTGCACTCAGTGCGACATGAGCTTTAAGTCCGCACAGGGACTGAGGACGCACGTGCATATGGTGCATGAGTTGGAAGGCGACGCAAAAGCCAACAAGGTTCTGCTCCCGTGTGAATTTTGCGACCGGACTTTCAAGAAGGAGGACGCCAGAAGACAGCACCAACTCGCCAAGCACGGCAAGGACCCGCTCATCAGGCCAGACTGGTACGAAAAACAACAGACTGAAGCAGCAAATGCAGCATCGCGATACAGTGATAAGGTAGTTGCAGCTGCTGCATCTTTGACAACAGATTCCGACCCGAAGACTTGCTCGATCTGCCTCCTCTCCTTCACCACAAGTGAAGATTTCGATGCACACTGGCAGAAACTGCAGCCCCGTGCTTCAGCCAAAAGAAACTGCCCCACGTGCAGTCGTGAATTTGACGAGGAGCGCGCTCTGCGTCAACATCAGAACTTCTGCTGACTGGCTCCGTGTCGGCGTCCTCCGTGTTAGAACCATGTGCTTCTCTCGTATTCGCCAGTTCCATCTATTAATAGTGTGAGCCTCACACTTTCGGGATGAACAGTCCAATCATCAAATTCGTAGCACTGTGCCACAGGCTCAAAACATAGGGAAAATAGTAAAACCTAGTGAAAAATTAATGACCCACCTAGTGAGACTGAAAACCTAGTGACCTTTATCACTACCTAGTGACGACTATGCAAGCTTGTTTATCAGTGTTTTTAGCCTATGCACTCTACCACAACCTACTCCTGTGGCCACCAGCAGTGTGTACGCCGGGTACAACTATTCAAGTTTGCCAAAAAATCAAACTCGCCTGGTATAAATTACTAGGCTATCAGCATCCTATTAATAGCTAGTTGTGTCAGCACAGGCCACCTCAAATACTGTGCTAAGTTTGCAGTGCTCACCAATAGGTCTGTCAGCAGTTTTTCACTAGGTTTTAATTATGGCACCCGTTCCTGCGCCCAACTCAAAAATCTGAGACGAGCCTCCTGCAACCAACCGAGCCCACCTACGCCCATCTAGCGCCCAGTAGTGCCCATACCGGGCTGTTGCTTACACACGTAGTTGGTAGTTGCCGTCAGTTTTGGATATGAGGTGGCATCACATGGCCACCTCCACCACATCCCTCGGCTTATCTTAAGCTGGGTGGACGCTGGCCTCTTTCCTTCAGCCATTGCCCTTATTGACATTTATCCCAATCAAATAGACTATTTGATTGCCTTTTAACCTATCATATTGCACAAACCGAGTATACAAACTCAAAGGTATTGCGTCGCAACACTCCCACTAAAGAAGGCAGCGTTGCCATAAACTTTCTTCTTATTGTCCGTCGACTTTCTTCATATTTGTCACCAAAGATCCTTCTCGAAGTCGACTTCAACCTTTCTCAGATTTAGCGTGACCAAAATAGCAAAATCAAACTACCGAACTGGGATTTAGTA